TAATAAGGCTCCTGATGCGGGAAAAGAAAATGAGAAGCAGGGTAGCCAGTGATCTCTGATTCTTGCGTATTAACGCTTACTCAGTGTTAGTATTCTTGTGTAAAGCTGTTTAATATTCATATGTGTAATAATGTATGCGTGTATATTGCTTATGTAAATAAATATACGATATCTAAATGCGTTGCGTTTACATCTTGCAGAAAACCATACACAAATTAAAAAAACGTAAATCATTGAATGCTCCTACTAAAAAGCTAGACAGCTTACATTTTTTTGTTATAATTATTGAAACTCACGTCGCGCTGGGTACTGACTTTATATAAAATCTCTGAATAGATTTATGGGGCTTCGCCAACATTCAAATTTGCATTTGGCTCCACAGCTTAAAGCAATCCATAACATCGGCACAAAATCTTAGGTACCAGAGGGTTATCGTGTCGGATTCAGACGACTCAGCGAAGCATACAGACCAGATACCACCTTGATAGGTTTTAAGCAGTGTTAGGTTTATTCTTGAACGAATATCAATGATACTTCACATCAGAATTTAAGCAACACATAATTTGTGCCCTTAACGCTTCAAATAATTTTTAAGTCAAAACTAATGAGCCATGTAGACTTAGGGAAGATTTGGAATTAAAAGTGTTGATTCGATATTTTTGGGCCTGAAAGAAAGAAGCACTGTCAACATGCACTACAAAGTGTGTTACCTTAAAAAAACTCGTGGTTTTGTGAGCAGACAGGGTTTTTGATGATTTGAAATTACTTCAAAATTGATCTACGGATTAAATTTAGCTCCGCACAACACACCATCAAATTCAATTTATTATTTCTACTGGTACGTCAGAACAAGAAAAGAAACATCTAAGCGACTACATAGTCTCTGTGCATGTTGTTTACGTAAAAAAATTCGATTGCCATCCTTCCTGTGAAAATGGGGCCTAATATTTGTCAATAAATCTTGAATTGCAATCCAATCTACAATTGGTTTTGCAATGAGAACCGAATACTACACAGTACAATAACCACATAGAAGGAAATTTAACTCCAGGTGTGGGATTTTGTCACATTTTAAAATCGAAGAGATTCGAGTTAATATAATAAGTTGAATTTATTTACTTTTAATGACATTTGGTCTCACTCGCGCTATGAGATTACCACTAATATGCAGCTATAGGAGGAAACTTACGTGGAGCACTAATGAGGTTCTTGGAGAAAAAACTTAATATTCCCTGGGATTCATTTAGGCAAATTTTGCACTACAAAACTGAAATTACTTAGAGAGTTGTGGCAGCTGAGCATGATATTTGTTCAGCGTACAACATAGCAGCAACGAAATCTTAATCGAAAAGCAGGAATTAAAGCTCCAGAATTTTCGGTTCGATAATTTGACCGAATTGTTCTGCTTTTCCTCAGAAGAATGTTCTAGATGCGCAAAGCGCGCCACTCTTCAATTCGC